GATAAATTCTACCAAACATTCAAGGAAAAATAATATCCCATATATACAAAAATTGGAAAAGAAAGAATACTTCCCAAGATATTCTATAAGACCAGAATTACCCTGATTCCAAAACCAGACAAATACATTACAAGAAAAGAAAGCTATGGAACAATGTCCCTCATGGACACAGTTGTAAAAATTCTAAACAAAAATTTAGCAAATCAAATCTAACAATATAATGAACGGATTATACGTCATACCTAAGTAGGATTTATCCAATGTATGCAAGGTTGGCTTAACATTCAGAAATACATGTCGTATATAGTATTAATAAACTAAAAAAAACACATATCAGTAGATATAGAAAATGCATTTGACAAAAATCCAACATCCATGCCTCATTTTAAAAAAATAAATAAAACACTTACAGCAAACTAGAAATAGAAGGGAACTTATTCAACATCAAAAGTGGCATCCACAAAAGACCTACAGTTAACAATATACTCAATGGAGAAAGACTTTCTACCTAAGATCAGGAAAAAGGCAAGGATACCTGTACTCACCACTTCAACGCTGTACTGCAGGTTCTAGCAATAAGGCAAGGGAAAAAAATGGCACCCCGTTAGTAAAGAAAGAAGTAGAATTATCTCTGTATACAGATGGCATGACTGTCTACAGAGAACATCCAATGGAATCTACATAAAAAGCTACCAGTACTAAGAGAGTTTAGCAAGTTTGCAGGATATAAGATCTATATAAAAAATATAAATTATATTTTTATATAATAATATCATTTACAATGGCATCAAAAGTGTAAAATACTTAGATTTGACAAATCTGACAAATATGTGCAAGACCTGTCCACTGAAAACTACAAAAAACACTGCAGAACCATATTTTATAAGACTTAAATAAATGGAAATACATACTTTGTTCTTTGGTCAGAATATTCAATATTGTTGAGATGCCCATTTTTTCCCAAATTGAGCTACAGAATTAACACGATCACAGTCAAAATCCCAACAGACTTTTTTCTTCTTTTTTTATACAAATTGAGAAGATACCAAAATTCACATGGAAATGCAAAGGATCTAGAATAGCCAAACCAATTTTGGAAGAGAAAAATAAACTTGGAGGACAAAAACTACCTAACTTCAAGACTTATTATAAAGCTACTACTTGAAACAATGTGGTATTGGCATAAAGAAAAACAAATAGATCAGTGAATCAGAAAAGAGAGTCCAGAACACATAAATATTGGCAACTGATTTATGCAAAGGTACGATACAATAAGGAAAGCATAGTCTTCAATAAATGTTGCTGGTACTGCATGGATTTCCACACGTAAAAAAAGAACTTTAATCCGTATCTCACATCATATACCAACATTGAGTTAAATGAATGATAGACTAATATAAAACCTAAATTATAAAACTTAAAAAAAAAGAAAACTCTAAGTGAATTTGAGTTAGGCAAAAATTTCTTAGATATGAACAAAATCAAAATCTATAAAAGAACAAATTAATAAGTTAGACTTAAAATTTAAAACTTCTGCTCTTTGAAAACTACTTAGGAGAATTAAATATAAGCCACAGACTGGGAAAAATATTTGCAAATCATATGTCTGATAAAAGACTTACATGCAATATATACAGAACTCTTAAAACTCAGTGATAACCAGGCTGGCTGATTAACTCAGTTGGTTAGACCATGATGCTGATAACACCAAGGTCCAGGGTTTGAACCCTGTACTGGCCAGCAGCCAAAAAATTAAAATATTTAAACACTTAAAAAAACTCAGTGATAAGAAAACAAACAAGTCATTATAAAAAATGAGCAAAATATTTGGACACTTCGCCAAAGAAGATGTATGGATGACAAATATATCACAGTAATAAAAATGAATTCATTACTATGATATGGCATTTAAAAGCAAAGAGGTTAGGTCTTTTCTAAGTCATAATCCACAGCAGATTAAATGTGCAGAGAGGACTAATTCTTTTATTTTCTCCCAGCCACTGCCCCCAGGCTTGACATTGTTCCTCCTGAGCAGACATTAACACTAAAAGTAGTCTTTTTGACTTAAACATGAGACTTTGCACCATGACTTCTCTTTCTCGTCAGACCTTGCATTACTCCCAGGGACAGTGTAGCAGCATACGCAAGAGTGCCTCATTTCCTTAGGTTCACATCCCAGCTTTACCACTTACTGTGTGACACTGGGCGCACTGTTTAACTTCTCTGTGCTTTAGATTTCTCATATGCAAAAAGGGGGTAATAATAGTGTCTACCTCAAAAGATTTTTAAGAGAATTCAAGGAGTAAATACACAGAAACACTTAAAAACTGACCAGAAGGTAGTAAGTGGTTCAATAAATGTTAATCATAATTATCATCCTCCCTCAGAGACCCAAATTTCTCCTTCAGCTGTAGGGAGTTCAGAACCGTGGAAAGAGCAGCAAAAGCTGGGAATCTTGTATCCTAGTCCTGACTCTCTCCTGACTGATAAGCGGGACATCAGCTGGATCACTGGTCACCCGTGGGTGCCTGCTCCCCATCTCTATAATGTAGAGGTACGCGAGATGATCTAGCAAGCACCATCTGTAAAACCTGTACTACTGACATCCCAGCATCTTTCTCTGGAAAATACAGGAAAGCAGCAACAAGGAGCACATGGGAGTAAGGAGATGATAGCAAGAGGCAGAAGGCAATTTATTAAGGAAGCGTGGGGGAAAAAGAATATGTAAGAAGGGTTGTAAGATGCGGTGGGGAGGGTCACTTTCTCCACCCACCTCTCTCAGATCTGTCCACTGAGCCTTTGTCCCATGGGGGGCAGTACAGTGTGATGTGGGATCCAGAGAATCCAGTGACTGTGTTATTTAATCTCTGTGCCTCAGTCACCTCACCTAAAAAAATGGAGATGATTGTATTTCCTCCCTGCCTCCAAAGGCTGTTAGGAAGACGGAACAAGGGAGGGCATGAAAATCATTTTAACCAGGCCTGACACACAACAGACACTCACAAGAGGAGCCGTGCTTGTTATGTGTCCTGCTGCCACAGCTTCAGTTCAGGCCACTACCTCCCACTTGAACTCCCTACATTGTCAAGTCATGCTCGTGAACAAACCTTTTGGTTTCTCTACTCTCTTTTGACGAGAACGACCTACAAAACCTGTATCATCCGATCTCTGCCTACCTTTCTCTCAGGTCTTCCTTCCCTCTTCGGCCTCCATCCGTTCTTTCTGTCCCTCACCCCAGCTCCAGTTGTTTGCACTTTGCCATCAAGGGGCCCTGCACTTTCTCACCTGTGGGCTTCAGCGTTTCCTTTCCAGACAACACTGCTTCCTCAGAGAAGCCTCCACCTACCCCAGACTCACCTGCTCTCAAGGCTCAGGCACCCTCTCCCACCCTCTCTAACCACCATATTTGTAAGTGTTTGCCTTTCCCTCACTAGGAGGGTGGGCCCATCTCTGTCTTGCTCATCACTGCGTCCTCAGAGCCTGACTCAGAGAATGCTCTCCAATGTAAGTCTGGTAAGTTAAGGATTTAACAAATTAAAGTAGGCAGGAGTCAGAGAAAGAGGGCAAAAGATATTCTACAAAGCAAGTTAAAAAGGTTAATAGCCAAGAGATGGAATCAACCTAAATACCCATCGATGGATGAATGGATAAAAAATCTGGCATATATACATAATGGAATACTCTTCAGTTATTAAAAAAAAAAGAAATTATGTCATTCACAGCAACAAGGATGGAACTGGATAACATATTAAGTGAAGTGAGCCAGGCACAAAAAGACAAATACTGCATGATCTCACTCATATGTGGAACCAAACAAACAAACAAACAAACAAACAAACAAACAAACGAAAAAAAAAAAAAAGGCCGTTTTCATAGAAGTAGAGAGTAGAATAATGGTTACCAGAGGCCGGGAGGGGAGGGGAAGCGGTAGATTAACAGGTACAAAGCTATGCTATCTATCCTAACTGAATCAATGTACAGTAGAAGCATGTATTAAAACAATACACTGTACCCCACAAATATGTAAAAATAAATGCTAAAATAATTTCTGGGGGAAAAAAAAAGTAAAAATTGTTGATAAGAAAAAGGAGTGGGACCAGGGAACGGGGAAACAACCCCGGAGGAAATATCAATCACTGGTTTAGGAACAGAGTTTTAACATTTACATATCACTCTCCCCACCACCTCCTACTCCGACCTCTACCTCTAGGCTATCAGGTCTTCCAGGGCAGAAACCCCATCATCTAGCACAGTCTCTTGATTAAAAAATATTAATTATGACACTTTTACAATGATAAGTGATAAATTAAGTACAAAACTGTATAGAACTGCCATTTGGGGAGGTCAAAAACGTTTTGGATATCAGAATGGTTCAATCTAATATAAATAAGTGACAATCCCATCACCTGGCAGTCTCTTAATATATTTTTAAACAAATACTTTTACAACAAACAAGACTTCTATTGCCTTCATTTTTGAGATGAGGAACTTGGAAACTGAGGCCCAAAGGCGTGAAGACACTGAAAGTCAGGTAGCGAGGGGGCGAAGGAGGCAGGATCTAAAACCCTGGCTCAGGAGTCGGTACCCTCAACCACTAGGCGACACTGCCTTCCTGAATGAGTCTGAGGGCTGCAGCTGGGAGACAGTGCACAACTTGGACAAGACACAACTTGGAAAGGACACGCGCGGGCCCGAATCCGGTGTGTCTGACACCCAAACCCGTGCACCTTCCACTACCCCCTTTTGTCAAGTCCAATGCCTTTCTGTCCGCTCCCCTCCCCCCAACCCATTTTACAGTTGGGGAACCTGAGCCTCGAAAAGGCCAGGCTGCGGAGGACCTGGCACAGCCGGGTCTGCAGAGGCCAAAGGGTCGGCCTGGGCCAGGGTCCTGACAGGAGGGGGCGGAAGTGACCTGCGGCAGGCGGTGAGGGTCCCGTGGGACCCGGGACGACGCCTGCAAGGGGGACGATCGAAGGCGAAAGGCGAGAAGGGGAGCTTACTCCTGCCCATGGCGTCTCTCCGGCTCGCTGGCCAGGGAAGCTCGACCCGGACCCCCAAGGCCTCTCTTCGCCCTTCACAGCCACGCCTCAGCGCGTCGGTACCGGGATCTGGGAGTCATGGCAACGGGGACGCTACGGCGGCCGCGCGGGGCCAGGCGCCGCCGCATTTACCCCACTCTGGGAGGTGCCAATGGAGGAGACCCGCGTGGAGGGGCTTCCGGGGGGACACGGGAGTCTCTGCCCAGCCCAGACCTGAACTTGCTGCACATTCCCGCCCTCGACCTTCCGCAGTCGTCTTCCCTCTCCCCAGATCAATTGTCCAGACTGAACAAAGACGGGCTGCTCTGATGTTCTGATGGGATCTGCCTCCTAGGCAGCCTTGTCATTTACTTTTACTCTTTTTATTTTATTTAACGCTTCCAGAGCCAGGAGATCTGGATTTGACCTCCGATCTCTTTACTAGCGGTGTGACAAACTTCCTTAGCCTCAGTTTCCACATCCGCAGCAGGAGTAATAATCATAACCTCAAAGGATTACTGTGAAGCTTTAAGTAGATAATGTGAATGAATGAAAGACACTTTTGAAAAACGACAGACTCAGTATAAAAGATAGTTGTCATTGCTATTATCTCATGGGTTTAAAGTCACCACCCAACACCAGTCGATTTCCTGCTAACAAGTTTTCTAACGTTACCGCCCATTATTCCCCACCCCCCACCCCTGCGGTTAACTTTCCCTACCCACCACTCTTAATCACAAGGTATAGGAAGTGTGTCCTCAAAGCATCCACTACTCCTCACATTTCTGCAGGTCCCTCTCCAAAAGCGTCCAACACACCTTACTCCAGTTCCAGAGTAGTAAGCTCATTCATACTCAGATGTTCAGATGTAAGCACTTTCATATATTACACCTCCTAAGATTCTTTAATGTTTATTACCATGAAAGTAATTATTACTCTCTACCTTAGTGGCAATAAAAAAAAAAAAAAGTGCAGTATATAAAAGATAAAACCTCTTCCCATCCCAGTACACAATATGGAGTGCATGCTTCTTATCTTGACATGTGTATTATTATGTTTGCATTTTGAAAGAAGATTCATAGAGCAATGCTGAGTGCAAAGAAATTTATCCTTTCAGCAGACACCTGTGAAGCATTTACTACTGGCAATTATTAGGGTTTGCCAAGTGGAGACAAGGGCATGAACTTGGACAGAGTGGCAGGAAAAGTCAGACAGGGTGGAGTGAAGGAGGGGCTGGGGACGATGATCAGTTTGGCAATGGAGAGAACTGCATAGAAGGGATTTTTGAACAGTAAGCCTGAGAGATTAGATTGGGGGTAAGGGAGGCCTTAAGTACCAAGCCAGAGGAACTGAACTGGAATAATGGGATTTAAGTCACTATGTCCCTGCAGTGGGAGAACTATTTGAAGTTCCAAGGAAACCTCTAAAGTCACTCAAACTATAAACTTAGATGATATTCACTGCTCCTACCCCCAAATCTGGTTCTCATCTTTTCACTGTTTTTTGAAAGCAGGACAGTGTGGAGTGAAGAGTATGAGTTCTGACACTGGAAAGAAACGTGGTTCATATCCATGGGTTTATTACTGTGTGTCACTGGAGAGATGACCCCACTTTTAGGAGCTGCAACTCCCCCACTTCCACATGCAGATGATAATATGAGCAAACATCTATGGCTGTGCCAGGGAGAGGTCGGAGCGCTGGTGTCTGATTACTCATGTAGGAGATAAAATGCCATGAGCAGCAGACGAGTGTAACAAATACGCCTGTGCTTGAACTTGTGCATTTTGACAGCAAGGAGTTCATTGAGGCTAAAAAGGATCTAGCTTCTGGCAGGAAGCTGGTACCAGGGGGTATTCCAGATAGAAAGTTTAGTTTCTAAGCTGACAGAGGCATGAGGTCAGGCCCAGTAGAGAAGATCTCAGCCTCTGGGTCAGAAGAGACAGAGGGAGGCAGTTCAGGACTCTAGAAAGTTCTCCAGAGCAGTGGCAACCCAGGTGTCTGATTCGTTGGCTCTGAGTTCCTATTCTCTCCCTCAGACCTACTCACCCTTGAACTCTCAACTTTACTCTTAAACTCCCTGGTTGTCAAAGAGGCTGCTATGGTTTGAATGTTTTTGTCCCCTCCAAAATTCTTGTTACAACTTAATCCCCAATGCAGCAGTATTGAGGTGTGGCCCATAGGAAGTGATTGAGTCATGTGGGTTCCACACTCATGAATAGGATTAGACGCCCATGTAAAAGTGCTTGGTGGAGGCAGTTTTCCTCTTTCTTCCCCTTCTGTCTCTTCTACCACGTGAGGAGAGTGTGTTCTTCCATCCAAAGAATACAGCAACAAGGCGCCACATTGGAAGCAGAGACTGGGCTCTCACCAGACACAAACCTGCTGGACCCTTGGTCTTGAATTCCTAGCCTCCAGAACTGTGGAAAATAAATTTCTGTTCTTTATAAATTACCCAATCTCCGGTGTTTTGTCACAGGAGCACAAATGGACTAGCACAGGGGCCTTGGATTTTTCCCATGAAACTTAATATCTGTGGAACTAGAGCCACATTGGAAGCAGAGACTGGGCTCTCACCAGACACAAACCTGCTGGACCCTTGGTCTTGAATTCCTAGCCTCCAGAACTGTGGTAAATAAATTTCTGTTCTTTATAAATTACCCAATCTCCGGTGTTTTGTCACAGGAGCGCAAATGGACTAGCACAGGGGCCTTGGATTTTTCCCATGAAACTTAATATCTGTGGAACTAGAGATACCACTCGGTAAAAATCTCTAAGATACTTTTAAGCACTGTATTCTCAACAGTGCCCATGTGCTTTGAAATTGCTGACCCAATTAATTCTCTCAGAACCCTCACAGGTAAGTCATGTTATCATCAACATATTACTGATAAGGAAACTGAAGCCCAGTGACATTATATTACTAGCACATAGCGAGCCAGGATTTTGTGCCCAAACCTGAATTCTTTACTGGATCATTTTGTAGACTGCTACTCAGGGCAGGGAGAGAGTTTTTGCTCATTTGTTTGTTTCCATATCGGAGTCCTAGTTCTCAGTACGATTCTTGACGCTCATTGGGTCCAATAGATATTTGTTGAATGATGGAATGAATTAGTGAGCCAATCTCTCCAAGAGCTTGGCTATCGTGGATGTGAGAACCACACCTTGAGACTTCAGTACAATTACCATAGAGGTGTCCATGTTGCAAGGGGATCTAGCAGGCTACTCAGAATGGGGTTCTGTTCTTCTAGTCATTAAATTGTTCCTCGTCTTGGGACCTTGTCGCCAAAATCTGGGATAAGAGCTGGTTCTGGGGACAGGGTCTTGACAGATTGTCCTACCACCCTAGTGGAGCAGAAAAGAAGCCTTAGATGATAAATCAGGGAAAGCAGGAATATCTTCTTTGTAATTTGTGACCAGGCTGAGCTGGTTATGCTGTGTCCTTCCTCACCCCAACATCACAGGCACTGATAAGTCCCCAGGGCTATGCCCCTCTCTCCTGTTCCTGCTTGCTCATACAGAAAGTATGTGCTCCACTCAGGAACCAAGGGGGAACTCTCTCAAGGAAAAAAGGAGTCTTTTGACCCTCTCCCCCAGAAGACCCAGGTGCCCATCTCCCTCTGTACTGAGGTCATGGCAAAGACCAGACCTGTCAGTGGGGGCTGCCAGGCAGATGGCAGAAGCACAGCTCCTACCCAAAGGAAGAGCTCAATCTTGTGGGGACAACACATTCTATCTAAGGCAGCTTGAGTCTGAAGGGGGTGGGGCGGCGGCAGGAAGGCCACATCAAGGACCAGATTTAAGATACAAAATCACAAAGTGTACACCTGTCACTTGTGCGTATGCCCTGGTAAACTACCATATGAACAGTGGATCCTCTCTGAAGCTCCATACACAGCCCCTAAAACAATGCGTGGCATATGTTAGGCACTCAATAAAAAATATTTTTGAATGAATGAATGAAGGCTCATTAGTTTAATTTAAGGTAAACTAAGTCTAACATGAATCCTACTCAGATCCTTTCTGAAAAACTGGAAAGTTGCCTCTCCCCTAAAACTACCCCAGTATGGACTTGTTATTCTAGGACTACCGTGTGTATTCTCCTACGCACACACACACCTCTGAGGGCACATGTGCAGTGATGTTTCATTCACGCAGCTTCCTCCTCAGGCACAGAGGTAACTCACAGCAGTGAATTTAGTGTGTAACAGGAGCTGAGTTAAAGTACTTTGTTGGAAATCTTTCTAAATAATATCCATTCTGCTCCTCCTTGAGCAAACGACATTGAACATGTTTGACGCAGTGCAGTGACTCGGGTTTCTCATTCGACACATCCATTACTGAACTGTGTAGCAGTGGAGTCCAGTCAGCTCCTTAGTTCCTGAGTGTCCACCAGCCATGTGATGCTATCACAGCTGTCACTCTTCTGTCATTTGTAGTTGCCACTGACAAATCACACGCTTCACTTTGGTTCACCCTTCTAATCTGCAGAGGATGGTACAATCAGAAAGCTATGCCTATTGGGAATTCTACGTCAAGGAAGGATCAAGAAGACTGTGACCATCTCAGAGAGCACATGAAGGTCACTCACTCACTTCCAGAGGAATGGGTGTCATATGTTGGGAACCCCAGCTTTTCCCCTGAAAGCATTCCTGTGGCCACATGCAGAACAGATTATTGTAAAGCAGACCATAATTTCCAATAGCAACAGTTTTATAATCAAGGATTGTTTTCCTAAAAACTTGCCGTCAAATAAACCAGAGATATGACCAAAAATATGTCACAGATAGATGCAAAAGTTCAACACCCATAAACTTCCATCATCACTTAGTTATTGTACGATTCTGCTTCCAGCCATACACTGCCGATAAACCAGAGATATGACCAAAAATATGTCACAGATAGATGCAAAAGTTCAGCACCCATAAACTTCCATCATCACTTAGTTATTGTACGATTCTGCTTCCAGCCATACACTGCCGGGGATGGAGCCTTGGACACTATCTGCCGGTCAGGAGGGTCAGGCTGGGCAGCACGCTGGACAGAGCCTAGGATTCTGGTGTGGGAGGGAAGTGACAAGAGACACATGTAGATCATGGCTGTCCTACAGAACACAATG